ACTTCGATTTTTTTTGTCAATTTACTTTAACCTTGTCTGTTTGACCAACAGTGTCCTCAAAGTTTCTGTTCCAAGTCTTCCCAGAGGTTCTAGGACAGTGATGGCTAACCTTTTCTGGACCGAGTGCCCAAAGCATATGCATGTGCACGCCAATGTGCATGCACACTCCCGAACTCCCAAAATACAATGCGTGTGTGGCCCCCGCACATGTGTCCTGCCTCACGCATGTGTCTTGCCCATGCGTATGCGCCCTGCGCATGTGTGCAAGGGCTCCTCATAGGCCCCAGCCCCACGTATGCGCGCATGGCCCACCTAGACCCCACACACGCACGTAGCCCCCATACACGCCCCACACATGTGCACGCGCCCTGCCCCCCACCTGCCACCACGCCCCCCTGCATGCCCCCCGCCACTCATTCATGCACAGCAGAGACCCGATGACCAGCTGGCCAGCGGGGGCACATGCGCATGCGCGGCAGAGCTGAACTGGGGTGACAGCTCACATGCCCACAGAGAGGGCACTGCGTACCATCACGGTTCTCGGAGATGAAACAGGACTTTAGGTCTTATTCACATGTTCCACTTGCTAATAGCTCTCCTGTTCTGCTTTATTACATGGAACTATATTTCCATTGCTCATTTAATTTTGATATTAAGTTTAAAACTAACCAAGCCGGACATTTTTTTTGCGACTAGAACTGCTGCTTCTTTAACTAATCTAATTAAACACATTGGACAAACCCAACCAGTGGTTTATGTGGGAGATAACTCATAGTACCCAATTGTCATCTGTAGATTACATCAGTGACATTATATGCACCAATCAATCACATATTAGTGTTCTGCCACTTAACACTTGTGGAAGGGAGAAGGAGAGGATAATAAAATTTCATTACTAACTTCAGATGGACTCGTACAAACTAATTGGAGGGATCCCTCTGTCTGATTAATAATCGCCATCTGTAATCACTCCACAAACTTATTCAAGTAGGACTCCATTAAATGTATTGCAAATTTCACTCAGGAGAAGAATTAATTAAAGTCTGCTTGGAGAGATAGAATGAATTCTATAATAATAATAATCAAGTAGATGAACGCGCCTCTGATACTGGATGTTTAAACTAACTTCAAAATAATTTAATGAACACGATAATGGTGAGGTATGGTCCACTGTATTAAGTTAGAGGAACAATTAAAACGGACCCATTGAAACCAAGTTTGTTGAAAGGGAAACAAATTCCATTTGTGGGTTTATTCTGAGTAGGGATCCAGTCCTTTCCTTGCTGGAGTGTAATTACTTATAGAGATGTCAATGTGTTTTGGGATTGTGCAATCACAAATTCTATTGACATTTTTTTTCTTTCAACAGCCTTATAAGACTGTAGTCAGATCCCAGTTATGTTAAATGAAAGACTTCTATTACCTTTGGTTACTCCCAGAGAGACTAATTTACTTCGAATTTGCTCAGCAGTCCATCAGGTCTTTAACTAAGCAAAGATGAAGCCAGATCAAATCAAGATCCCAGTGGTATAACGTTTGATGCTAACTGAAATTACAGTAGACAATTCGTCTTCATTTGTTCCAGCTCAATATATATGAGGTCAAATCTCCTTCAGTTGAGTTTGAGTCTTCATCAAACATCAAGATGCACCGATGCAGTTTTCTTGCAATGTTGTTGATGTCCAGTTTAGGAATAATTTTATCAACTTCCAAGTCTTATCTCGCCAATGTCTCTCATCTAAGGATTAAATAAGCCCTATTCACCAAAATTCCCCCTGTCCAGATAAGGATAACCATTTCATAAGATCTAGTGACCAACAATTAAGCTCAGGGTGAATACAAATCCATTAAAATATGTGTTGCTTAATATATTTTCAGCCAGACTATTTTTTTAAAACAATTTTTTTTATTTTTTAAGACAAACAAACATTTAGTACATCATTCATTTCTTCCATGTGACATTTCGGTGTTATCTTCAAAAGTTTCTTCTCTTCTCTACCTCTTCTGGCTTCAATCTCACCAAATCCATTACAAAGATTTTCCACTAATATAATATTCCAATTACAACCAATTTTTTTTCAATCTCTTTTAAAAACTTATTTGTATCTCTTTTCTAACAATAGTAAAATTTATTCCATATCTTAAAATATTCTGTATCTTCTCTTTCCTTTATCATCATAGTTAATCTATTCATTTCTGCACAATCTAAAAATTTTTTAATTATTTCTCCCTCCGAAGATATATTCTCTGCTTTCCACTGTTGTGCATAAACAATCCTTGCTGCTGTTATTACATGTATAATCAAATACATATTTTCTTTACTAGTTTTCTCTGGTAAGATACCCAATAGGAATAGCTCTGATTTTAAATCTATACATTGTTGTATCATTTCCTCCATCCATAACTTAATTTTATTCCAATAGTTTTTCGCTTTAGGACATGTCCACCACATGTGGTAATATGAACCTGGTAACTGGTAACATTTCCAACATTTAGCTGATTTATCCAGCCAGACTAATATGATAAAGCTATTCTAATACATTAAGTTTGTAGAAATCAATATGTACATCACACAACATATAAGGTTATAAATATAAGGTTATAAATTAGGAAAACCAGTATATAAATGATTAAAGGCAGAGATGGGTTCCACATAATTTTACCCCAGTTCGCCACACACCGAAAATGTGAGTGTGGCATGCACGCAGCTTAGAAAACGTGGCTAAATAAGATGGCAGGTCACTGCTACCAGTTCACCTGAACTGGTCTGAACCGGCTGATTAAAGGAATAGCAATGAAATAATAATCAAATAAAGCCATAATAAAAAAAACCCTTAATAGCTAACCTTATTAATTTCTTGTAGAACATAATTCTAAAATATGAACCATCGCTGAAAAAAGCTTTGGACATTTATAAGGGATGGACAAATTATTCATTCATTATTCATTTATTCATTATATTGATTGCATTAAAATATGTTGCACTTTCTACTTTAAAAGCATTCAAAATGGCTTAGACCTTATCTTCCATGCACAATTTTATTTAAATCTGTACAAGAGTTCCTATTTAAATGCATATTCTATAAATGCATGTTGCTTCACATAGATTAAAAGTATTTCATGCTACTTTTTAAGAATGTTTCAAATACACTTTGGTAATATGAATTTGGTAATTCTTTGGATTGCTTTAAAATTAACTGCATTACAAAATAATATGCAAAGAAGTAGCCCTATTTAGACCAAATATTAGACCCACAAATTTGGATCGGAGCTTGAATACTTTACAATCCTGCTTTCCAAAAGATTAATAGATTATTTAACAAAGTGAAGTCTCTAAATGGCGTTAGTGGCCAGTACCTTTAATGAAGGGGGGCTCAGTGGCTCAGTGGCTAAGCTGAGCTTGTTGATCGAAAGGTCGACAGCTCAGCAGTTCGAATCCCTAGTGCCGCGTAATAGGGTGAGCTCCCGTTACCTGGTGGAAAGGTAACAGTGTTCCGTGCGCCTTTTGTGTTTAGTCATGCCGGCCACATGACCATGGAGACGTCTTCGGACAGAACTGGCTCTTCGGCTTTGAAATGGAGATGACCACCGCCCCCTAGAGTCAGGAACAACTAGCACATTTGTGCAAGGGGAATTTTTACCTTTACCTTTTACCTTTAATGTATCTACTATCTGATATATAGATATGTATATATCAAGACTATAAAGAACAATAGTAAGTAGTGAAAATAGAAACAGAAAATAAAAGGAAAGGAAAATAAAATAAAATAAAACTATAAAAAAGCAGCTTCTGATCTTCTTGACAGTGGTTATAAATTCATTTATATTTTGCCCTCATTCTCTGAAGCTACCTCATCATTTCCTTTCTTCCACAAGCTACCATTTCTAATCTTAAAACCCATAAATCTCAAGTTCACGTTTCCCTTTTTCTCAGCAAAACTTCTATAAAGATTGCATTGGGGGCCACTATCAATTGCCCTTATTTATTAGGCCAATCTCTATTTATTGGGCCTGTAAATCCTCACTGCAAGGCAAAATGAGGAAGGAGAGGAGGAGGAGATGATCAGCTTTGCATATCAAAAGTGACATTCTGGGTGAATTGCTCTTTGATATCAAAATAGCAGGAAAATTAACACATTCCTGTTTTCTCATCCAAAATCCATCACATATTCCTTCCATTTTGAAGCAGGAGACATACCATCCTTACAGTGGTGTGATTAACTCAGGATGCTAAATTCCCAGGAAGGAAAGAAAACCCTAGCCATTGCTCCAGTAGTGGGTTTCAAATCCCAGGGCTACTGGTTCGAGTGAGCGTGTGGCTCTTCTGCGCATGCGCAGAGCGTTTTTCATGACATCTGGGCAGGTGAACAGAGCCTCCCACCGCCGTTGCTGCTACCAGTTCGCCCGAACTGGAGTGAACCGGGAGCAACACACCACTGCATCACTCCCATTCATTGTGGGAACCTCACATTTTACATCAGTACCTCATCATTGCTTCATTAGGTAGACAGTCAAAAAAATACCTAGGACCGTATGGCGAGCCTATGGCACACGTCCCACAGGTGGCACGCAGCACCCTCTCTGTGGACACACAAGCCGCTGCGCCAGTTCAGCATCACCGCGCATGCCATCCAGCTGATCGTCGGGTCTCTGCCATGCATGCACAGGGGAGGGGCGTGGGGGGGCGTGGGTGCATGCAGGGGCAGGGTGCACAGAGGCACAGGGAGTGCATGCACATGCATGGGGCGGGCACGTGCGGGGACCACCCGCTCATGTGAGGGGAGTGGGGAGCATGCACGGGGGCAGGACGCATGTGCACGGCCCACATGCGCATTGCATTTTGGGGGTTCGCTTTGGGCACTCGGTCCAGAAAAGATTAGCCATCCCTGTTCTAGAGTCTCCACATCTTTTTTACATCGTAGCGACCAAAACTGAATGCAGTACTTTGGATCGGTTGAGATATTAACTTGTGTTCCTACTTCCCCTTTGCTTTTTGAAAGGTTCCTCTCTTGCCAATGGAGGCCTGAATCTTCACACCACTGTGAAACGGAAACTGGAGAGTGAAAAGGGTTACGTCTTCGATAAGAGACTCAGGTACAGCGTGCGTCAGAATGAAAGCAACTGTCGGTTTAGAGACATTGTTGTACGCAAAGAAGATGGATTCACACACATCCTCCTGTCCAGTCAGACCTCAGATAACAATGCACTGACTCCAGAGGTACGCAGGTGAACATCCAATCAAAGAGAACAGTGGGATGCGATCAATAGCCATAAAAGCATCCCTCTGTTTATCATTTATCCCATAATGAAATAACTCCCTTGAATTCCATTTCTGATTTTAATTTTTGAAGGGGAGACCAGAATTGGGGAGGGGGACCTGCAGGTTTGAAGTACATGTACAACTTTGTCAATGTTTACTTATATTATTTTACCTTTCCTGTCACAGTATGTAGAGTTGGATTCAGCTCCAGGTATCAAAGGTTTCCTATAACTTGGATCGGTTTTTGGTGGGTTTTTTTTTTTTTTGAGCTTTCGTTCTTTGTTAAGGGTGCAATCAATCTGAAGGACATAAATATTTGAGAGATTAGCTGGAAGGCAGAGAAAAAAGTTCCCTCTTTGGACAATTACAAATTAGACTTAACACTGGTTCAAAGCATGGGTGTCTGTGGGGACGCCTTCAGTGTTGAGTCATGCCACATGACCACGGAGATGTCTTCGGATAGCGCTGGCTCTTCGGTTTAGAAACAGAGATGAGCAGCGCCCTCTAGAGCCGGAAATGACAAGCACACATGTGCAGGGGAACCTTTACTTTTACCTTACTGAGCAAAAATCAAAGCACCCTTGTGTCCTTCCCTTTGCCGCCTCCTCCTCCTCCTCTGGGTCGCTATACGTTTGTTTCCTTTGATGTTAGGAAGCATGTCAAAAGCGGATATGAAATATAGATTTGAAAAATGTTAGAGAAACCGGCTGGTAGGAAGCAAAAATGCTGTTATCCCAAGTCAGATTTGAAGCAACAAAAAAAAAAAAAAAAACCAGGGTAAATATTCCATGATTCGTGTAAAAAGAACTGGACTGTTGTTTGTTTCTCTACAGATTATGAAGGAAGTCCGAAGAGCCCTTTGCAATGCATCCGCTGATGATAGCAAGCTCCTGCTGCTCAGTGCCGTAGGCAGTGTGTTTTGTAGCGGCTTGGACTATTCCTACCTAATTGGAAGGTTATCCAGCGACCGAAGAAAAGAAAGCACCCGGATCGCTGAGGCTATAAGGTGAATTTTGGGTTTGGGAATCCTCCAGACAGAAAAAAATTCATCCTCAGCCTACGACAGAGGATATGGTTTTATTTATTTTAACGTTTGAATTGGGTTGGCTAGGTCAAATGAAAGAGGTGTTTGATATTTACATTTTCTTGATGTGGTGTATATTTTGCTCAGCATGCGTAGCTGGGTTGATGCAAACTTCTTAAATATTCTTCCTCCTATCTGTAAATTCTTTAGCTGCCACATTGAGGGCTTGTACCCAGCTGAAGGCAGAAGAAATCGAATAGTAAGAAATTTGAGAGATGTTATCTTTATCCAATTATCAATAAGAATAGAAGAATGGAATGGAGTGGAATGGAATGGAATGGAATGGAATGGAATAGAATTAGAATAGAATAGAATAGAATAGAATAGAATAGAATAGAATAGAATAGAATAGAATAGAATAGAATAGAATAGGAAAGAATAGAATAGAATAGAATAGAATAGAATAGAATAGAATAGAATAGCTGAATTGGAAGGGACCTTGGAGGTCTTCTAGTCCAACCCCCTGCTTAGGCAGGAAACCCTACACCACTTCAGACAAATGGTTATCCACCAAGACAGATTAGACCATATATGATATGTAATGAACAAGGAGACATTCAACCTGGAAATAAGGAGACATTTTCTGACAGTGAGAACAATCAGGCCATGGAACAGAAGTTGTCTTTGGAAGTTGTGAGTACTTTATCACTGGAAGCTTTGAAGAAGAGACTGGACTGCCATCTGTCAGAAATGGTGTAGGGTCTCTTGCTTGGGCGGGGGGGGGTGTTGGACTAGATGACCTATAAGGTCCCCTCCAACTCTGTTAAACTGTTAACATCTTCTTAAATACTTCCGGTGTTGGAGCATTCACAACTTCTGGAGATAAGTTGTTCCACGGATTAATTGTTCTGTCAGGAAATTTCTCCTTAGTTCTAAGTTGCTTCTCTCCTTGATGAGTTTCTACCCATTGCTTCTTGTCCTATCCTCAGGTGCTTTGGAGAATAGCTTGACTCCCTCTTCTTTGTGGCAACCCCTGAGATACTGGAACACTGCTGTCATGTCTTCCCTAGTCCTTCTTTTCATTAAACTAGGCATATGTAGTTCCTGCAACCATTCTTCATATGTTTTAGCCTCCAGTCCACTAATTATCTTTGTTGCTCTTCTCTGCACTCTTTCTAGAGTCTCCACATCTTTTTTTACATCTTGGCAACGAAAACTGAATGCAGTATTCCAAGTGTGGCCTTACCAAGGCCTTATAAAGTGGTATTAACACTTCAGGTGATCTTGATTCTATCCCTCTGTTTATGTAGCATAGAACTGTGTTGGCTTTTTTGGCAACTGCTGCACACTGCTGGTTCATATTTAAATGGTTGTCCACGAGGACTCCAAAACATTGTGATCTAAACAAATTATGATTTTGCCCATGGCAATATGAGCTAAGATGGTGCTATCATCGTCTTCATAAAAATAGATGATAGCAAAGCAACCAAATAGAATAACAAGAGATCTATACTTCTCCTGTACTTATCCCTTATATTTAGTAGGTTACTTAATATTGCATAATTACTTATAGGTTGCTTGTTGCAATGTGTGCCAGCCCAAATATATCTATACAGCCACTCCGGAAGGCTTGCTTCTTCCATATTCCATTCTGAAATTTATGTTATGGAATACTTCTAGAACTTGTGGGTACTCCATCACTGGAGGTTTTCAAAAAGAGACTGGAGAGCCATTTGTCTGGAATGGCACAAGGCAATGATGGCTAGCCTTTTTGCCATTGTGTGCCAGGAGTGGGGGGGGGATCACGCATGCACGTGACCACACCCATAATTCTATGCACCCCACGCATGCGCACACGACCCACCCACCCCCGCCATCCCCACTCTTGGCACATGATGACCTGGAAGGCCTGTTTTTTGCTGTCCCCAGGCTCCAGAGCCTTTCTAGGAGTCTGGGGACAGCGAAAACGGTCGAGGGGGTTGGGGAAGGCCATTTATGCCCTCCCCAGACTCCTAGAAAGGCTCCGGAGCTTGGGGGGGAGAAAAAAACAGGCCTTCCCCACCACCCCCTCAGGCTCTCTGGAGGCAGGTAACATCCTTTTTCCCTACTTCTGGTGGGCCTAGAAAGCCCGAAAATTAGCTGGTATGCACCGGAGCTGAGGTTGCGTGCCCACCGATATGTGCCACCTGTGACACGCGTGCCATAAGTTCGCCATCACGGGCATAGGGTCTTCTGCTTGAGCAGGGGGTTGGACTGGAAGACCTCTAAGGTCCCTTCCAACCTTAGTATTCTGTTTTATGTTAGGTAGCCTAACATGTCTAGAGCATACTGCACTGTAAGATTTGGAACTGCAATCCCGTCTTGTTCTCTTGAGCTCTGCACATTTTTTAATCTAAACCTTGGCTTTTTGTTGGAACAGATATAATTCATTGCTTGTCTGTGCCAAACATTTAATATTTTACTTTCATGAATACTGAAGTCCCTTGAAAAAGGAAGTTTAGTGTTGGTAGAATATTCATATTGACAGCTGGGATTCTCCTTAACTAAAACAGATTTAACTTTTTCTATCTAGAAGTGTCTCTTGATATAGTTTTCCAATTTGATGAATAATTTATTCCTTTAAAAAGTCTTCTTCGTCAAAAACAAATTAGCAGAACTGTTGGCATGTTGTTTTTCATCCTGTCAAATTCCATACCAAAGTTTGAGGGTTTTTTTTCCTTGATTAGTTCAATAGACCAAATTCTATACTCCAACCAACAATATTAAAGATTCTCTGGGTTGAGTAATTTTGAGCATAATATCATCAGAAAATAATTACAGCTTATGTTCTTCTGTAGTGGATTTTGATTCCTTACATTCTACATTCTTGATGGATTCAAGTTGGCAGAAGTTGTAGTTCTAATCAGGAATGAAAATGATATGAATGAAAGAATGAAGCTACAGGATCTCCTGCTTCAGCAGGGGTTGGTCTAGAAGACCTCCAAGGTCCCTTCCAACTTTGTGATTTTATATTCTAAGAAAAAGAAAGGGGAGAACACGGTCTTATCCCTTTCCGTATATTGTGCATTGCTCCAAGGTGAGGCCATTCACTATGGACTTTTTGTCCTTTATAAATATACTGTATTGATGTCAAAAAATTAGAGCTGTAACCCATTTTCTTCAGAGCTGCAAACATGAAAGATCATTCCAAAATTGTCAAAGGCTTTTTCAGCATAAAGGAAAATCAAAGCATTTTTTTTGTTCTTTTGATTTGTCTTATCAATAACATTTATGATATGCCTGATATTATTTCTCTTTGCAAGTACTGCCATAAAAAGTTTGCAGTCCACATTCAATAAGGAGATGGGTCTGCAAAATTCAGATAGGTTGAATACTTCTTTATTTTTTAAAAAACAGGATTTTTTTTTTAAAAAAAGAAGTGCTTCTTTCCATGCCAAAGGAAATTCTTCATGTATCTGAATTTCATTCATTGCCTTGATTACAGGTTTGGTCAGAATGTCTTGGAAAGTTTTATAGTAAATTGTAGAGATACCATCAGGTGCTCTAGATTCATTCAAATTCAATTGTTTTACTGTTTATTCAATTTCATTTCCTGTTGCAGATAGATAAAAACTATTTTGTGTTGATCTGTAATTTTTTTAAGTGGTGTATCACTTAAATATTTCTTTTTTTTTATTAATCAAATTGGCTCTTCCTTTCTGGCAGATACTTTTAATTCTTCAGTTTCTCTTTAGAAAAACCTGTGTAGGCAAGGATTTACGGAGGTGAAACTGTGAGAAGTAGAGAAAAAGTAGAACTTTCTGACTGCAATTAAACCTTATTGATTAGTTGAAGGTTATCTGAATTCTCCTACTTCTGCTTTGGTTAGCCATCCTCAGATTTCCCCTGAATTATTGCCTTCCAAATGTAGTTCATTATATTTAGAAGGCAGTAAGTCAAAGAAAACTAAGAATTACTAAAATTCTAAGCCAACATAGCTTTGGGCTCCGAGACTTCTAATTCAATATATCTGGAGAACACCAATTTGCAGAAAACTAAAACAATCTTTCTCTTAACTCACTTTTTGAATTTTGTTAGCGTTTTTTCCATGGTTTGATTCCATCATGTTTCGGCTCTATTCACAGACTTCTTAAGGCAACGTTTGAAGATTTTTCTTCTTAGGGAAATGGCTTCATTTACATGCAAATAGACTCTCAAAGTTAAAATATTGCCTTCTTCTCATACATCTCATATTACGTTCGATGCCAATCTACATAATATGAAGGACAGGTTTTCAGATGCAAATTGTGGATTGTCCTATCCAATTTGGACTCATGCCAGACTTCCGCCAGTTGTAGCCATGTAATCATGGTTCATTTTTGTCAATTATGTTCATACCAAATAACAATATATTTTCATTTGAGAAGGCATAATACAGTGCTGCAGCTCAAGCGGTATATATTCAGAAGATTCCAGGTTTTAGGCTATAAGTATTTGAACCTGGAATCTTCCACGTGTCCTTCTGGGATAAGAAAAACTCTTGGACAGCAATCAACGTTGAACTCAACAGACCAATGACTTAACTAGGTATAAAGCAGCTTCATCTATTCCTGGAAGTTCTGTTTTAAGCTATGCCAAAAATTATCTCTAGTTGTAGACAATACAGAATAACAGAATTGTGGGGGCACTCGGAGGTCTTATTGTTAAAAAAACTGTAAAAGACATGTATGTAATAGTTCTTTTGCTAAGCAATAAGGAAAGCTCAGTGCTCTAAAATATATTGAGCCAAAAGTTCCTAACAGCTGAAAAGCAGATAATGGCTGTTCCCTCATCTCCCAGAGCTCTAAACCCACAGGAGACCATTGCCTTGCAATCTCCTCATGAGGAGCAATTGTGTGGAGCACTCGTGGGTGATCTCCAGTCTTCTCTTTGTCCAGAGAGGAATTACAAAAGAACGGTCTACTTTCTGGCACACATTTCTGCCACACTCCAGACAAATGGTTATCCAACATCTTTAAAACTTCCAGTGTTGGAGCATTCACAACTTCTGGAGGCAAGTTGCTCCACTGATTAATTGTTCTGACTGTCAGGAAATTTCTCCTTAGTTCTAGGTTGCTTCTCTCCTTGATTAGTTTCCATCAATTGCTTCTTCTCCTGCCTTCAGGTGCTTTGGAGAATAGTTTGACTCCCTCTTGTTTGTGGCAAACCCTGAGATACTGGAACACTGCCATCATGTCTCCCCTAGTCCTTCTTTTCATTAAACTAAACATACCCAATTCCTGCAACCGTTCTTCATATGTTTTAGCCTCCAGTCCCCATCTTTGCTTCATCATTTTTGCTTTTGGATTAATATTTTGGTATAGGAAGGAACATATAAGGAGAGAGGGAGAGGAGAGGGAGAGAAAGAATTGTCTTAAAACTCAAAATATCAAGCAGTTAATATTTGGGGAGGGATAAAATTTACAGCTGAACCATTCTTGATGATGATGATGATACTATCCATTCAGTCATGTCCAGCTAGTAGCTATTTTGTTGGGCCAGGTCTCACCACATCTTCCAATCTTGCATTACTTTGAGTTTTTCTATGCTCTGGCTGGTGTCAACTTTGATGGTATCCACTCCCTGTGTTGTTTTTTTTAATGGCCCGGTTTCCTTTTAACACTAACACTTCCAAAGATAATTGCTTTCTCCAGTGAATTTCCTTGCATGACATGGCCAAAGTAAATGAGACAACCATTTGTGTAATGCATAAATATCAGTTGTTCATATTGCAAAGCCATCCAGAAGTTCCGTGTTTCCCCAAAAATAAGACCCTGTCTTATATTTTTTTGAACTCTGAAATAAGCACTTGGCCTTATTGCCATGCGCTCAAAAGCCCGATTGGGCTTATTATCAGGGCATGTCTTATTTTGGGGAAAACAGGGTGGGAAGGTAGGTAGGTAGGTAGTGATAGATAGATAGATAGATAGATAGATAGATAGATAGATAATAGATAGATAGATAGATAGATAGATAGATAGATAGATAGATAGATAGGATAGATTAGATAGATACCTCGTTTCCCCGAAAATAAGACCCTGTCTTATATTTTTTTGAACCCTGAAAGAAGCGCTTGGCCTTATTACCATGCGCTCAAAAGCCCAATTGGGCTTATTATCGGGGGGGGAGTCTTATTTTAGGGAAAACAGAGTACATGGCAGTTTGAAAGACATCAACCACAGCTACAAAACCTCCATTAATCTTAAAACAAGATGGAACATTATGGTTTTGACGCCACAGCCACGTTCAGAAGTGTTAATGTTTCTGCTTACTATATACTGTGAGAGAAAAAAAAGTGGGATGAGAACCTTTGATTGGCTTTTGGAGAAATACGTAAAGAGTTTGACCGCGTGGAAGGGCCTGTCTGATGTAGTGACGAAAGTTCTCATGAAACAAATTAGTTCATTGTGACTTCCATCCATATCTTCCTATTCCAGGGATTTTGTGAAAGCCTTTATTCAGTTTAAGAAGCCCATTGTGGTTGCCATCAATGGCCCTGCTCTAGGCTTGGGAGCATCAATTTTACCACTCTGCGACATTGTGTGGGCAAGTGAAAAGGCCTGGTTCCAAACACCCTACGCAACCATTCGGCTCACTCCTGCAGGCTGTTCATCGTACACATTTCCACAGATATTGGGCGTGGCTCTGGTAAGATTTCCTTCTTTCAGATGGTTCTATGGCAGGGATGGAATTCAAATTTTTTTTTACTACTGGTTCTGTGGGCATGGCTTGGTGGGCGTGGTGTGGCTTGGCGGGCGTGGCTTGGGCATGGCAGGGGAAGGATACTGCAAAATCTCCATTCCCTTGTATAAGATATAAGGTAAAGAAGAATAAAGATATGTTTAGAATTGTTATGCAGATGTAAAAATGAGTGAAAGTGAATTTGAAATTAATTTTGGATAGATATAATGGATTTATATAGATGAAAATGTTAAATTTGAGGTAAAATTGGTTTTTTTCTTAAGTTTTGAATTTCTTTTTTATCTTCTTTTTTTTTCTTTTTTTTTGTTTATTTATAAAAGATGTAATGGAAATTGTGAATTGAGCTTGTGAAAGGAATGTAAGCATGGTAACCATCTATGACCGGATCAAGATTTTTGCTCTTGAAAGTTATGTTTTTATGTTTAAATTTGAAAAAATAAATAAAAAATATTTATAAAAAAAAAAAAATCTCCATTCCCACCCCACTCCAGGGGAAGAATGCCGGTTCTCCGAACTACTCAAAATTTCCACTACCGGTTCCCCAGAACCTGTCAGAACCTGCTAAATAGCACCCCTGTTCTATGGTCCCACTTCAGTTAAATAGCTTGACATACCCATGGTGCTGTCCTACATATGGTTTTCTATTCCAGATATTTCTTTCCTGACCTAATGGATGAATATTGGACCAAAAAAATGAACTTCTCGTCTCTTTGTAGCAGACATCTTCCAGTCACTTGGTTTCTTTCCCCTCCGGATTTCTGATTTGTATGTGCAAAGCAAATACTCAAGAGCTGCAAGTTGTCTGCTACTGAAAAGCAGCTGAATCAGTTGCTTGCAAACATAATGATTGAAATATGCCATCTTGAGCATATTTTCATGGTCAAGAGGCAATTTGCTATTTAAAGCTCCCATTTCTAAGTAGCTCTCCAGTCCAAATCAGGTTTAAAAAATCGAATAAGAATGGAAAAGAAAGATCTTTGGTTAACCCATCTACAATCCCCACTAGACCATAGACAAAAGAGATTTCAGAGTACTTCATCTGATTCATTTTTCCCAGTGTGGTGTGAGGACTTATTGTTCTATTTATCCTACTTTTGCATCTACCACTAAATAGATCCCAAATTTTGTGCCAATTTGTATGCGCTGTCACCTTGTGTTTCGTGGTTACTCTTCGTGGAGGAGGAGAATAAGTTGTCCTATTCTAATATGTTCAATCCTTGTAGGCCAATGAGATGCTGTTTTGTGGAAGGAAGCTGACAGCGCAAGAGGCCTGCAGCAGAGGTCTTGTCTCCCAAGTCTTTTGGCCCACCACATTTGGGCAGGAAGTGATGCTGAGAGTAAAAGAAATGGCGTCCTGCAGTGCAGTGGTAAGAAGAATATGAGATTTTATGAAAAACTTTGGAGAATTCGTGTCAGGGTTCCAAGTAACACCCTGTCAGAGTTTAAGGTAGCTTAACTAGTATTATGAGATAAACCCAGGAGCAAACCACAGCACACAGAGCCTTAAGATAAATAACAGTGATTTATATACAGCTAAATATTTACAGACTTATACGTAGTAAATACCATATCATACAGCTACACATGGAGAGCAATGAGATACACGCAAGAGAGAACATGAGAAAGGAAACGCCCTCTAATGGCTTCCCTTATATAGGCAGTTTCTAAAAGTGGCAGTAACTCTGCTGCCTCATTCCATTGCATCAGTTTCCGGTTGCCTCTGCTTACAACTTCTCATCAGCTTACAGCTATTAACTCTTCATACCCTGACACACCCCCAACAGAAATAAAACTCCAAGGCAGGCATCTTCCTGAAAGTTCCGTTTTATTAGAGATGTCATATTAGCACATCTGGGAAAACCCAAATCTGAAAGGCCCCCGGGGTTTTCCCCACCCAAATCAAAATCAAAGCTCCTTCCCCTGCACCCACATGTCCATCCCATGGTCCAATCAGGTCCCCGTCCCAACTGGAGTTGTTTCCCAGCCACGTCTCTCCAGGTGCAGGCTGAACGTCCTTGACTCCCAAGGAAAATAATGTTGTTATGGCTATATATCTCACCCTGTCTCCATCCAACCCCGCTCACATTTCCCACAGCATGCCCATCCACCAAGTGTGGCAGCCCTGAATATCCAAAGTAAAAGATGGCCTCCAGGGCTGACAATTCGTTTGTTTGTTGGCCACTCATTTTACCTCAGGGTAATTCTTTGGTGCCAACTGTATCCCATCTCATCTCTTTCAGAAACTCCTGTAGAAGGGACTTAAGGCAAAGCACTCCCTCTCTTGCCTCTTACTTACTTTCTTATTAAATATATAGGTTGCGCAACTCCATCCCGACTAGTGTAAAACATGAAATAATCAAAAGTGGATTCCAGAGATTTTTTTTTTTAATTTGATTTATATGCCGCCCTTCTCCGGAGACTCAGGGCGGCTTACAATGCGTTAAGCAATAGCCTTCATACTTTTGTATATTTATACAAAGTCAGCTTATTGCCCCCACAATCTGGGTCCTCAATTTACCTACCTTAGAAAGGATGAAGGGTTAGTCAACCTTGAGCCTGGGGAGATTCGAACTAGCAGTAATTGCAGGCAGCTGAATGATAATAACAGGCTATTAGTCTGCTGCGCTACCAGGCTCTCAGATGTTCCAAAGCAAACAAGAATGCCAACACCAGAAGAAGAAACATTTCACAAAAAATCCTCTCTAGCTAAAAAACCTGAAGATGAAATTGTAGGTCTATTTTATACAGTCGATGTCCTGAAAAGATTAGGGCAGTGTTGTTCAACCTTGGCAGTTTTCAGATGTCTGGATCTCAACTCCCAAAACTGATGGCTGATAGTTAGCTGGGGAATTCTGGAAGATGAAATCCACATGATATCTTAAAGTTGTCAAGGTTGAGAAACACTGGATTAGGGGACAAAATATACTAGGAATTGCCGGTGTTCACCAAGTTGTTTTTTTTTTTTTCATGAAAGAGAGTGAATGATCCTAGGCCTTTTGATGGCTTCTTTGATAGCTTCTGGAATGCTTCCAACTATAATTGCTGAAAATCTATGGCATAGTTAGCTTCATGAATAAATGAACAAGTCTGAGATAAAAAAAATATGCAGGCAGCTATAATGTTAGCCTTCAATAGCTTTTATGTAGATTACCTGCTTAATAAGGAAATGAATGGACACTTCTAGAAGTTCTCATATAAAAGTCAGAGGGAGAAGCACACCATGGCATGACATATTCTTTCCCCATTGCTTACTGCTATGGTCTCTCCAGCTCCAAAAACTGCCCAAGATGATCTTCGCTAGGTGTCAGCAACCCATGGCTCTGGAGCCACATGTGGCTCTTTCATCCCTCTGCTGCGGCTCCCTGTTGCTCAAAATATGCGTCACGACTGCCAATGTGCGACATCCACCAATGTGCAATTTATTAAGCTTTTCGACCTCCGGTAGGCCAATCATGGATAAATCCAAGAAAAGAAAAGTTTCAGAAGAAAACAGAACGTTTAATTCAACTACATAGGCTATCCCCAGAATCTCTGTCCCACATTACATTCGTATGTCCCCACTACCGAGACGTAAGATCAAGATTCATTTCTCCGCTTTCCTTCGGCAAGAGGGTTATTAATGCTTCTGACCAGGAATTCGGAATGTGTCCATCCCGGATTACCCCATTAAATAGTTCTGTCATATAAGGACTTAAGACTTCCCAAAGTGCCTTGTAGTATTCTATTGGGAGGCCATCTGTACCAGGAGTTTTTCCTGTTTTTTGTTTTCCCATAACCCTTTCAATTTCCTCTTCAGTTATCTCCCTGTCCAATATTTCCCTAGACATGTCCGATATTTTGGGTAGATCAGATCCTTCTAAATATTTCTTTATTTCCTGCTCAGATTTATCCTCTTTTCTATATAGATCGGAATAAAATTCCTGCACTATTCTTTTCTTCCCTTCTTCCCCTGTAATCCATTCACCGTTCCCATCTCTCAAGTTATGAATTCTACTCCAGGATACAGACCCCAATATAACTTCAAAGGTGGCAAAAAATTTTGCTGCAGTCGTGGCTGAAAAAAAACGGGGAAAGAGACGGGTAATCCTTACGGCAGAGGATCACTAGTATTGATAGTACAGATTGTATCTGAGGCAGTAGATGATGTACTGTCACATGATTTATCTATATTTGTAAAATATACTCCCCTTCTATGTGTATTTTAATTTGGTCTCTGACCGCAATAAAAAGCTTACTTACTTACTACATATGCTAGTTTTGTGGCCGCTCAGGAAATAAGTCAGGCACAGGAAGAATTTTGTGGCTCCCGGTGTTTTCTTTTCTGTGGGAAATGGATCCAAATGGCTCTCTGAGTGTTCACAAAGGTTGCCCAAAGCAAAACATTAAGCTCCCGTATTGGTGTATTCAACCTTAAATTATTTTTCACACATTATGCAAGTCCCCAGATTTTCAGTGGAGGGGAACGTATGTAAGCTGATAGAGAAATATTTTTTCCCTCCCTACCTTTGTATGAAAGATTGTAACCTGATCCTCTCTGTAAAGACAGAATAGCTTCCCTTTTCACTTGAAAGAGCAGCAGCAAAGCATCGGGGACTTTTAATTAAATGTATTATAGATTATATCTCCTTCCAAAAAGTTTGGGGGGGGGAGGGAAGCACAAAAGAAGCACATATTACAAAAGTACTGTGTTCGTGTCTTGGGTGAGCCAATAAGGCTCTTGATCTGATCAGAACCCTGGACAGGCCCTGTGCTCTCCTCCACCTTCATTTCAGCTTAGGTTTTTTTTATAACATACAGCATAAAGCATATAAGCATAAGAAATAGAAATACAGCATAATAAAAGCATAAAAGAAAAAGAAAAATTGCCAGTGAAGCTAAGAGTCTGTAGAGATTCTCAGTCATCCAGGTCATGGTTTTTTTTTTTTTTTTATTTATTTATTTATTTATTTATTTATTTATTTATTTATTTATTTCTATACCGCCCTTCTCCCGAAGGACTCAGGGCGGTGTACAGCTTGATTAAAAGCACAAAGACAGACAAAATTTAAAAATAATTAAAATTATTAAATAATTGGCTCAATTTATAATTGCCCCAAAGGTGCTTTTTCAATTTATAATTGCCCCAAAGGTGCTTTTTCAGGAGGAAACTGGACCTTCCATTCCCCACTATCCTAGGTTGCATAAACAGAGGGATAGAATCAAGATCACGTGAAGTGTTAATACCACTTTATAATGTCTTGGTAAGGCCACACTTGGAATACGGCATTCAGTTTTGATCGCCATGATGTAAAAAGGATGTTGAGACTTTAGAAAGAGTGCAGAGAAGAGCAACAAAGATGATGAGGGGACTGGAGGCTAAAACATATGAAGAACGGTTGCAGGAACTGGGGATGTCTAGTTTAATGAAAAGAAGGACTAGGGGAGACATGATAGCAGTGTTCCAGTATCTCAGGGGCTGCCACAAAGAAGAGGGAGTCAAGCTATTCTCCAAAGCACCTGAAAGCAGGACAACTTCTGAAGGCAACTTCTGTTCCAAGGGTTGATTGTTCTCACTGTCAGAAATTGTCTCCTTATTTCCAGGTTGAATATCTCCTTGTTCATTACATATCATATCTAGGGGAGACATGATAGAAATGTTCCAGTATCTCAGGGGCTGCCACAAAGAAGAGGGAGTCAAGCTATTCTCCAAGGCACCTGAGGGTAGAAAAAGAAGCAATGGGTGGAAAATAACCAAGGAGAGAAGCAACTTTGAAGTAAGGAGAAATTTCCTGACAGTTAGAACAATTAATCAGTGGAACAACTTGCTTCCAGAAGTTGTAAATGTAAATGAGATTAGATAACCATTTGTCTGAAATGGTGTAGGGTTTCCTGCCTAAGCAGAGGGTTGGACTAGAAGACCTCCAAGGTCCCTTCCAACTCTGTTATTCTATTCTAGTCTACTATCCTGTCAGAGCTCAAGAAGCTTCTTGGATGAGAAGTGAAACATCTTCAAAGAAAAAACAAGCAAGTCCAGTTGCCTCCTGAAAAAGCACCTTTGGGACAGTGAAGCGAAGAATGCTTCCTGCTTACCAAATTATTTTTTTTTAATGTCAAATTATATCCTTTTGTTCTACTGTGATAATAACGCAAACCAGCTTTCAATGAGCAGAACTAAAAACTAATAACACAAACAAGGCATCTGTTGGGATCGTAAAAACAATAAGAATATAAACCAGTTACAAGGCAGGAAGTGTGAAACCCACAGCAAAAATTAAATTTACGTTTCTATATGTAATTTATGGAAGGCTAGCAAAAGTGAGCACTGTATGAACTCAAGGTTTCCTACTTTTCAGTTCATTCTTATAAACTATTTTATTACTCTATAATATAAAGCTGTCCCGAGTCACTTAATTAAGTTGACTATAGAAATTGAATTAATCAATCAATCAATCAATCAATCAGTCTCAAAGGAAAGGAGTGTTCATGGGAGGGTCAAAAAAAATCAAGATGGAGACTAAAGAAGGTCTCCAATGAAGCCAAGAGCCCAATAGGTTTTTTTCACTCTAAACTCTTTTTTCTCTAGAAGACATTCATTCATTCATTCATTCATTCATTCATTCATTCATTCATTCATTGAATTTATTTGCCGCCCATCTCATAGCAAAGGACTCTGGGTGGCTTGGATGACAGGGCTATGCTCCTCACAGGATGAATATATTAATTAATAATGAATAAGTGAATGGGAATGTCATTGCTTTCCCTTAGGTTTTAGAAGAATCGAAATGCCTGGTTCGGAGTTTCCTGAAATCTGGCCTTGAAGACGTGAACGAGAAAGAATGTCAGATGTTAAAGCAGCTCTGGAGCTCTTCCAAAGGACTAGATTCATTGTTCAGCTATCTCCAAGACAAGATCTATGAAGTTTGACATTATCGAAGGGAAAAAAAATGAAGGGGCGTGTGGGGGGAGAATGTTCTGGGATCAAAGAGATTTCAGAATGTCTCTGGGTTTGAGAAGAATCATATGAAAGCCAAAAACCAAGATCCAGCAAATCCTCCCGGAGGCTTTTGTAAGAGCATATCTAACATCTCGGAGGTTGCACCAGTTTCCTTGTTGTATTCAACGATTCTTCCCAGCAGGATGGATTTTTCTTTGTGGAAGGGAAAGGCAGATGTATTGACTCAGCCTTTGGCAAGAGTTGCATTTGAGGACCCATGTGGCTGGAGAGAAACATACATTCCATGTGCCAGAAGAAGCACCAATGGTAACCCTTTAAGGCACACCACAAATCTTACTTCTTTGGTCTTCTTAATTTTTTTTTTTAAATATTATTATGAATTAACTTATTCCCATTTCCTGTAAGCAGCTCTTGTCACAGCATCTGTCCAAATGGCTTCAGTTTAGAATTCAGCTGTCCTAAATCGTATTTATCTGGCTGGCCTGCTTGAAGAAGATGTCCATATTTTCGGTTTGTTCCACCGTTAACAATAGAAGATGTGGCATGTGGAGGATATAATTTATAATGGCTGACAGATAAAAGAAAATAATTTTGCCAAAACAAAAAAAAAAAGAAAAGAAAAACTTTCAAAATACCCTACTTGCATTGGATGGCTTTCCCCCTTTTGGTTCAATTTATTTAATTAATTTATTTGTGTTTGTGAGTCTCAGTGATATGGATATGAATATGGATATATGGGTGTGTGCAGTGGTGGGATTCAAGTAATTTAACAACCGGTTCTCTGCCCTAATGATTTCTTCCAACAACCAGTTTGCCAAACTGCTCAGAAAGTTAACAACCGGTTCTCCCGAAGTGGTGCGAACTGGCTGAATCCCACCACTCTGTGTGTGTGTGTGTGTGTGTGTGTGTGTGTGTGTGTGTGTGTGTGTACCCTGTTTCCCTGAAAATAAGACATCCCCTGATAAGAAGCCCAATCGGGCTTTTGAGCGCATGCGCTAAAATAAGCCTCCCCCCGAAAATAAGCCCTCCCCGAAAATAAGCCCTCCCCGAAAATATTTAAACACAGAGCTGGAAATCAGGTAAGACGGCAAGAGGAGCCCATCTTGCTCCATGCGCCCCAAAATAATAAGACCTCCCCAAAAATAAGGCCAAGCGCTTATTTCGGGGCTCAAAAAAATATAAGGCAGGGTCTTATTTTTGGGAAAACATGGTATATACAGTATATATACTATACACACACAGCATATATGAAGAAGCATGTATATATGCATATATATATATATATACACACACACATCTCTGTGTATGCATAACACACACACTGTATATACATACATAAAGTGTGTGTGTGTGTGTGTGTGTGTGTATGTATGTCTATTAATTATCATTGTACTTACCTAGACTGGATAGGCTTTGCACATATGAACGATCTCCCTAATTGTCTTTAAAAAGATTGTGTTATGTCAGCAAAGACAAAAGGCAATGAAATCAGATAATGCCCTGGAGTTTTTTAAAAAAGAACTCCATCTGCGATTCATATTCAGAAATTGTCCTCCAAGATGGGTCCTGTATTTGAATCGTCCTTAAAAGAAGAACAATGTAGTGCCGAAACTGTGAGTGTAATAACACAACTCCTCTTGAGAACTTGAGGAATAGGGCAGGGTGTACCTTCTTCTTCTTCTTCTTCTTCTTCTTCTTCTTCTTCTTCTTCTTCTTCTTCTTCTTCTTCTTCTTCTTCTTCTTCTTCTTTTTTAAATATAAGAAATGTTTACTATCTTTTTTCTAATCAGCCGAAAAGTAATAACCATATTGCACCAACCTAGAGTAACAACAAAAGAATGAAGAATTCTTGCTGGCTTAGAGGCTACCCCTCACCTCTGAGAAGTGGTCTAAAATTCTTAGGGATGTCTTTGAAAATGCTGCTATTAGAGATTCTGGATTTCCTTTTATTGTCCAGGAATTGATAGCTCTCCTTCCCATTAGAAAAATGCAGAAAGACAGAGTTTTTCCTTTGGCTCGTTCTGTGCTCCTTCGCTCTTAGCATCTGACCCCAATACTTCCTGGAAGCCCTGCAGAGATTTTTCTGTAATTGCATCGATTTAACACCTCATACTGCCTGTGAAATCCCCTGGAGAAGTAATGGAAGGACTCTTCGCTTTTTAAGTCGGCCAGGCCTGACCAAGGTGCATTAAAAGGAGAACAGTGACATGAATGAGCTGCTTTATGAGATGGCCTCCCATTTTCCAGCTACAAAAATTGCAGAGGAAAAAAAAAAAGGGGAAAGAAGAGAGTTAAATATCTCTAGGCTTAAGTCCATTTCACAAATTCTTGACTTCCATGAGTTTTCTTAAACGTTTTGGTGGTTTTTCATTTTTCTTCTGTTTTTCTTTTTTGTCTGGCATCGTTTCCGTTTAAGTTCAAATTCTTATTAGGTGTTAGAGCAGGGGTGTCAAACTCGATTTCATGGAGGGCCGCATCATGGTTGTGTTTGATCTCGGTGGGGAGGCAGGGGGGCATGGCCATGGTGGGTGTGGCCAGCTTGACATCACTCATGTCTGGGATGCCTGTGGCGGCCCGAGTATTCTGCCAGTGGAAACGGGCTCCTGAGCTCCGTTTTCAGCTGCGACGGCCTCCTGCAACCCTCTGCCAGCAAAAGCGGAGCTCAGGAGAAGCTGCACACGGCTCTCCTAGCTTCGTTTTTGCTGGCAGGGGCAACGCGGGCCAGTCCTTCGCTGTTTCCAGGGAGGCCCCATGGGCCAGATCTAAGCACCCTGCAGGCCAGATCCGGCCCCCGGGTCTAGAGTTGGACACCCCTTTGTTAGAGCTTCCAAATGGGATATTGAATTCTAGGGAAGAGAATATTTGTAGCTCAGGGTTGAACTATGGAGTCCTTGGTGCTCTCTGAGCTTGGTTGTTGTTGTTGTTTTTTTTGTAGGCATTTCATGACCCAACCAGGTAACATCATCAATGGTGTTGATGTGATATTGAATTCCTGGAGATGGGAGAGGACTTCCTTTGTTGAATTTGTTTTTTAAAAAAATGTGTTTATATAGCAAACGTTCCTCTTGGCAGGAAATCTCTGCAAAATTCTTACAAATCAGTGCACACTCTGGCTTCAAGCATCAAACCATGTTCTTACCAGAATGCATTGAACATATAAACCAGGATTTTCAGGGACGGGGAAATGCTTCTCTTATTCTTTGCTACGGATGGCAAAGAATCTCAACTAATTCATAAACCTTTTGCTTCTGGAGTCCAGCTGTTCTGGACTCTAGGGATAAAATCCTAGAGGTATATAATACCAAGCAAATGAAAACCATGGGGGAAAAAATATATGGGAACGTGTTCATTTATTGAAATGATATTTTTCAAAATGAAGTCCAGTTCCTCTTCCAGAAATGAATAGTTAATGAACTAGCAGGAAAATGTTCCCACACTGAAACTTCCTTTGAATGGGAAGAATTCTTGGGATTCAAAACTTCTGGATTTCCAAGTAAACCTGATTTTGAAACGTTAATTTTTTTCTACCGCTTTTTCAACATATTCTTATTTTTACATTTCGGTAGCTGAAAAATGCCAAATATAATTCCTTCATTAAAAAAAAAATCAAATTCTAAATCTCACTTTTGAAAAAAAAAAAAAACCATCAGTATGATTATTCTAATTTCAGGGTTTTTTTAACTTTATGGTCAGTAATTATTTTTTTTAAAAAAAGCTTCCTCATCTGGTTTTATATTTCCAGCATCACTTGAGTATTTAGCGATAAAGGTGTGCTGTATATACTGGGTTGAATATCTTGATTAATATCCACAGTATTTAATAAAATGCAAACTTTGCTGTTAAGTATGTCATATGATTTCATGTAAATGGTTTTGTACAAATCTTTAAAAGATTCCCCAGTTTTTGCATTTGTAGATATGGAAAAGTAAGCAATTCATTTTTTTTCTGTTTGTCTTGCATGTGTGTGCATATGTATGTATGTATGAGTGTGTGTGTGTGTATGTATGTATGTATATACATATACATATACATATGTGTGTGTGTGTATATATATATATATATATATATATATATATATATATATATATTGCTGTATATAAAATGTGTGTTAGTTGGGTGCCCTTCTGTTTCAATGAATAAGCTTGCTGATTTTAATACAGTATATATTTTCAAATTATATATATATATATATACATAAACTTTTTATATTTCTGTGGTAGATTAGGGTAAGCGTTCTAGGCAATCTTTTTACACGATGGTTAACTCTTCTTTTAATTCTCTAGTATTCTGGGGTTGATGCCAATTGTTTTTTTCACTTAAAATAACACACTGTTTTACTGTTATAAATATATGCAGGCAGGTTTTTTGGTTTCCTCCCTTCCTTTCTTCCAGCCTTGAAATAAATGAATTTGTAGATTTGCTGCATTTGTGAATAAGCCTTACCACTAGTTTTAAACAAAGATTGTGAACTTCATAAGGAAAATGAAGAGTCAGCTCTCTGGGGTGGTAGAATAGCCAGGATTATAGCATCCTTTTATAATCTGCCTATTCCAGGAGTTGTAGGCCCAACACATCTGGAGGACACGGGGTTGCAGAAGGCGAAGTTAGAACATCTGATCCTGCCTTGCAGACGTGACGCAAATGGGGACAATTCATACTGAAACTTTCCCAACACCCAAAACTCTCTCCAAGCATAATTTCTCTACATTGGAGTTCTGACTTGGACCAACCTGTAGAAGACTTGAAGAGTGGTGGTTTGAGGGAAGGAAACCATGTTCAATGGATTTCACCCCCATTTTTTTTGATGAACTTTTAAGAAAACCCCTGGCCTCCAACAGCTGCATTCCGACAGTTGACAAATGTAGAATGCAGGGTCGTGATGTTTTTCTAGTGAAATGGAGAATACGGGTTTGTTCTGGTTGTGTGTACGTGTGTTCGTTTCAGACATAGCTAGGCTCTTTAGCATGGGCTTTGTTCTGTAGTCAGGGATGGAAGCCTCTAGCCCATGGGTCTAATCTGACCAACTCTAATTTAAGCAACCTTAATCACACTCAGGTTCTTTGGGTGGCTCGATCTGTCTAAGTCAAACCTGGTTGAAGCCAACTCTCGTTGGGAGACCCTAAAGTTTACATAAGAGATGTAGAGACAATCTGAATTGTGCATTGAAATGCTCCCCGTCGTAGATGGATGTATCTCTATTTACCCTATTCACAATATGTTTTGAAGCCGTTCTTAACATCTTTGTCACTACTTCAAGCTATACACAAGGAAAGTCCTTCATGTAATTCCACCCGCATATTCAAACAGGATTTTTGGCTTCTAGACAATAATATATATTGCATGTAAATATCAAGCTTCCATTAAAAACAATAAGGACCAAAGAATTCCATTTTTCCGATCATGCCTTTGGTTATCACGTCTCCTTCAACTTGCATTTTGTATCATCTTTCATTTCTTTCATAGGGAAAGAAAAAGGGGCAAAGTAGCTGGAGTAAGTCTATCTGCTGAAGAAGAAGAAAAAAGGAAAATGAAAAATAGTTATAAGTAAGGAGGTGTCTATTGGTAAGGCTTATTACCAAACTAAATAAAGATAAAGCAGGTAACCAAAAAAAAAAGAGAGACAGAGACAGAGAGAAAAGAATTAAAATATAGATTTTTTTCAGATACTGCCCATAAGTTATTTTGTTGTCTAAATGTCATGTTCCCAATATTTGTGAAGACTGCACAGTATGACCAATATGAGGGTATGGGGCACCCCTTAACCACAGTGTTGTAAATATTTCAGAAATTAGTTCAGTACCGAGGGATGCATATCTTCTGATATATCTGATATCGTGACTGTGTAGATCAAATTGTACACAATTTATTTGTCCATGGTCCTGTAAACTAGTGTATGAACACATTTTTCTGGGTGCCTTAGAAGTTGTATTTTTCATGTGTGTTAATATGCAGTATTTATACATTGTGAGAAGCTGCTTTGAATAAAAACATTGAAACTTCCCTTTGGTGGACCTTTGCCGTGGCAATCTGTGTCAAGATGTGGGGACATTTTTGGCATGGTATCCCATTAGAATGTTTCCAGAACTGTAACCAGATTTCAATAGCATGATCGATGATGATGATGATGATAGCCATTCAATCGTGTCTGACTCTTGGCGATTCTATGGGCCACGTGTCTCAGTGGTGCGTTTCAAAAATCTTTACTACCGGTTCTGTAGGTGTGGCTTGGTGGGCGTGGTATGGCTTGGTGGGCGTGGCATGGGAAGGATACTGTAAAATCTCCATTCCTTCCCCAATCCAGGGGAAGGTTACTGCAAAATCCCCATTTCCTCCCAATCAGCTGGGACTCAGGAGGCAGAGAATAGATGGGGGCGGGGCCAGTCAGAATTTTTACTAACGGTTCTCCGAACTACTCAAAATTTCCTCTACCAGTTCTCCAGAACTGGTCAGAACCTGCTGAAACCCATCTCTGAAGTGTCTCCACCTCTTCTGATCTTGCATTACTTCTCTGAGTTGTTCTATGCTTTGATGTCAGCTTTGATGGTATCCAGCCACCATGTTCTTTGACAGCCTGGTTTCCTTTTACTGCTAACTCTTCCAAACGTAACTGTTTTCTCCGGTGAACCCCCCTGCATGACATGGCCAAAATAAGCGAGATGCAGTTCTGTGATTTTTTTCCTTCTAGTGACATGTCTGGTGTTATGCGCTCCAGTCCTTGTTTGTTAGTCAACCTTTGCTGTCCAAGGAAATAGCTGGGTTAGAAGTAGGTAATATGTTTAGACCAAGTTGCATTGGACCTCAACTCCCAGAATTCCGAACCAGCATAGTCAAAAGAATGACTTTGGTCATGCTAACTGGGATTTCAAGGAGCTGAAGTCCAACATACCTTGAACATCAGTTGAGGGAAGACTGTTCTAGAATCTTATTATATTGGTGTCAGCCCTTACAAGCCAATGCCATATAGGTGAAGACTACTTTGATTGAAATAGCTATAGTAACAGGCATCACTGGCGAGGTGTGAGCAAGGGTGAATGCAGCCTGGATGCGTTGGCGAGAACTCACCGGTGTGCTATGTGACAGACGAATGCCAACCCGTCTTAAATCTAAGATTTACAAGACAACCATCCGCCCTGTTGCACTGTGTGGCACTGAATGCTGGGCAGCAACAATAGGGACCGAAAGCTCTCTCCATGCCATGGAAATGTGAAGGCTGCATTGGTTTATCAGGCATCTCCCTTCTTCACCACATCAGAAATAACATCATTCGACAACGTTTTGGTGTGGCACCAATTATAGAGAAGATGAGAGAAGGCTGGCTCCGCTGGTATGGACATGTCCAGAGAGCAGCACCTTCCACCATGGCCAAGACTGCCTACCAACTAGAAGTCAATGGCCAGTGACCTCACAGGCGCCCAAAACAGAGATGGCAAGATACCATCAGCAGAGATATGCAAGCTGCGGGCCTGCGCCCTGGAGACGCAGCTGACTGTGCAAAGTGGCATTCAAGAATCTGAAAAGCAGAAGGAGAAGAAGATAGTAACAAATTAGAATAGAATAGAATAGAATAGAATAGAATAGAATAGAATAGAATAGAATAGAATAGAATAGAATAGAATAGAATTTTTATTGGCCAAGTGTGATTGGACACACAAAGAATTTGTCTTTGGTGCATACGCTCTCGGAGTACATAAAAGAAAAGAAACGTTCATCAAGAATCATAAGTTACAACACTTAATGATAGTCGTAGGGTACAAATAAGCAATCAGGAAACAATATCAATATAAATCGTAAAGATACCAGCAACAAGGTTACAGTCATACAGACATAAGTGGGAGGAGATGGGTGATGGGAATGATGAGAAGATGAGAAGATTAATAGTAGTGCAGACTTAGTGAATAGTTTGACAGTGTTGAGGGAATTATTTGTTTAGCAGAGTGATGGCGTTCGGGAAAAAACTGTTCTTGTGTCTAGTTGTTCTGGTGTGCAGTGTGTCAGCTTTGGAAGCCATATTAGGCCGGAAGCTTCCATGCTGCCACCTTCTCCTGTGTGGGAAAGTAGGAGGGAGGGGATTTAGTAGTGGGGTTGTCTGTAGACATAATAGCATTCTTCCTGTCGGTCAAGGTCAGGACGATCTGCATCTGGAGAAGGAGTGGTCAGAGTGATGTCTCAAGATGGGACGGTGGTTGATTGGAGCATGTGAACGACTGAGGAGTGAGGAAATGGTTTTGGGGGTTTTGATTTACTGAGGGAAAACCCAGACCTCTCAGATTCAGGTTTTCCCAGATGCGCCAGTTTACCTATTCTAGTAAATAGAACTTTGAAAATGGTTGCTTCCGCGTCTTTACTTGGAGCTGGGGGGTTTTCTGGAATGCTGACACAGTGCTCTATAGCGTCATTTTAAGGATAGTAGTTGAAACAGTTTATGTCCAGGATGTGAGGAATCTGTCAATATTTTCACAGCCCTCTTTTTGACTTGTGCAGTATACAGGTCCTCAATGGAAGGCAGGTTGGTAGCAATCCAAGATGGCGCCGCCGAAGGCTGCCTCAGTAAAATGCTCTCTAATGGTTTCTTTATATTTAATTATTCTAGTAACAGATCTTGCCATCTGAATGTGCTTCCCCTC